CTTCCTTCTGTCGGAATCCTTGAACTACAAGCCTAGCTTTGTATTTTCCACCAGGTTTTCGTGTCATTATCCATTTATTTCCTAATGCTTTGCAGCCAGGTGGTAAATCTGTTATATACCATGTATAATTTTGCATGATAGAATCAAATTCACTTCTGACAGCTTCGTTCCAAAACGGAGCTTCTGGTGAAGCCATGGCCTCTGCCAAAGTTTTTGGAACATTTTCTACTAGAAATGCCATTAGGAAATCTTCTCCAAAAGATTTTTCCTTTCGAGCTCTTTTGCTTCTTCTAGGTTCATCTTTTTCATTTTCTGAAGTATCATTTGTAAAAATCTCGACGTTTGTCTCAGTTTCTGAAACATTATCGTTGTCTCTTTCTTCTTGAGTTCGTTTTGAACCTTGTTTTTCCTTGCATGGGAAAATATTTTCGAAGAAAGATGCATTTCTTGATTCCATTACTGTGTTTTCATGAATATCTGATATTTCAGATTTATTTACCAGAAATCGATAAGCACTACTGTTATGTGCATATCCGATGAAGATGCAATCCACTGTTTTGGGTCCAATAGTGACCTTTTTGGGTGGTGGTACCGCAACTTTTGCCAAGCACCCCCACACTTCAAGGTATTTATACGATGGTAAATTACCTTTCCATAATTCATATGGAGTTTTGCCAGTTACTTTGTGTGGAATTTTGTTGAGGATATAATTAGTGGTAAGCAGCGCTTCCCCCCACAGGTTCTGGGGCAACCCTGATTCCTGCAACATTGCATTCATCATCTCTTTTAGAGTTCGATTTTTGCGTTCAACAACTCCATTAGATTCTGGTGAGTAAGGGGCTGTAGTTTGATGAATTATTCCATGTTCTTTACAGAATTCATTGAATGGCCCATCATATTCGCCTCCTCTATCGTTTCTAACTATTTTAATAGTTGTTTTAAGCTGATTTTCTACCTCGAGTCTAAATTCTTTGAATTTTTCTAAGGTTTCATCTTTGCTACGTAGTAAGTATACATAACAATATTTTGTGCAGTCATCTATGAAGGTCACAAAGTACTTTTTCCCACCTCTAGTTTGTATATATTTTAAATCACATAAATCAGTGTGAATTAAATCTAGAGGTTTGTTAGTTCTTTCAACATGAGGTGAGGGTGTTTTTGTGAGCTTAGCCTGTACGCATACTTCACATTTTTGTTTACTTGTTNTTAACATACCCCTTTCCCAAATACACCCCATTCTTCCTAATCACTAGCTTGTCCGCCTCAAGAGATGTGGCGAATCCATTCTTGCTGAGCAAGGTTCCCGAAACCAAGTTCTTCCTCATGTCAAGCACATGCTTCACATTCTGCAGAGTGACTTCACGTCCAGATGTCATCTTCAGAACCACCTTGCCGCGGCCTTCAAACTTGGAAACTGCTTTATTCCCCATGAACAGCTTCTCCTGAGTCTTGCTTTTCTGATAAGTGCTGAACATCGCCCTATCAGTGCAAATGTGGTGGTGGCACCGGTATCATACCACCAATCTTTGGGATTGTTGTTTTCAACCATGTTGACTTCAGTCACCACTGCAACGAGATCTTCCTCCGTGAGATTCACCTGGGCCTTCTCATCTCTGATCTTGCTGCGACACTCAGCAGTCTTGTGACAATTTTTGTGACAATAGTGGCACTTTCCCTTGAATTTCTCCACATTCTCATTGTTTTCATTGCCTTTGCCTTTCTTCTTGAAGTTTGGTCCAGAAACCTTCAAGTTTGCAGCTGTCTTGGAAGGCTTGGCAGGGGAGTTAGCAATTGCCTTTCCTTTACCTTTCGTTTCAGCCACATTAACACTGTGCTCTTTAGCTTCGAGCTTGTCATTCTTTCGGTTTTTGACTTCCATCTGAAGCCTCTGAATGAGATCCTCAAGTCCCATCTTCTTCTTTTTGTGCTTCAGGTAATTCTTGAATTCAGCATAGCTTGGAGGAAGCTTTTGGATGAGGCTGAGGGTTATGAATGTCTCATCTATGGATATCCCCTCAGCAGCAATTTCATAGCAAATGAGCTGATACGCTTCCACCTGATCCATGATGGG